AGAAGAAATTCGCTATTAACACTTTTACATAAAATTCTAAGTACACATATATTTTCAAGACATTGTATCCTAGTTTTGTTATTCTTGACATCAATTACTTTTATTATAGTCTTATAGGTGGTATTGGATAAAAGAGGTGTTTCAACATTCAGCATTTCAGATACGGAATAGATGCATAAGAAAACTTTAACATGGCCTCAACATGGAGCTTTGTGATTTAGAAGTAAAATTTCCAATATGAAGGTCAGTGTTTTGTTTTTTCACTGATACACCCAGTCATCAACAGCCATGCTTATACAAGCCATTTCATTTGGATGTAGAATAATTGTTTTATCTTTGAGAGCAGAGACTTATTTTGAACAAAGTGTTTTCCAAAAGACTGAATATGACATACAAAACCTATCTTACACTTCTCAAAAAATGCAATAAGAACTAAATGAGAGGGTGCACATGAAAATGCATCCTAATATTAACTATTTGAGCATTCAATGATTTATTTGTTCAACAAATATTTACAAAGTACTATGCACTGGATTATAGGTTCATGATACATATTATAGATTCATGTGCTGTGGGTGAAAAGGGAGGATTAAGTAACAACCTCTGTCCTTTTGATATTTGCATTTTAATTACTAAATAAAATATGTTCTCAGGTAGACTGTATTATGACACCATGTATACCAGAAATATATTATGATAGAAATATTTGTTTGGCTTGATGGTGTCTTTCTTTGAGGAGGTATTTATAAGCAAAGTTTTGAAGAATGAATAGGATGAGGAGAAAGATATGAGAAGTAGAGACTCCCAATCACAAATGCTCCCCTATTTTTATATATATTGATCCTACTCTTTTCTAATTTCATAGTTTTGATCATATTGTTTTCTGTCCTTGAAATGATTATCCCTTCACCTCGATGTCAACTCCTGTCTGGCAGCCCTATCCAGCCACTCAGAACCAAGTCACATGGAAATTCTTTATTATGACATCTCAGAATCATGATCTTCCCTAACCCCATCCCATTACTTCTTTAAACAGTTTGTACTTGATACACAACCTGCACCTGTGTCACATTCTTTTTGACTGAACGACTCTTTAAAAGCAAGGATTACGCTTAGTTATTCCTTAGTGTCATAAACAAATCCTTGCCTAGTTCTTTGCACAAGTTTGGAACTAAAAATATTTGCTAGATTATTTTTTCCTAACTTAAGGACTTACACTTTGAGCATGATTAGACCCAGTATGAGACATTCATGTGTAGTGATACAAGGTACAAGTGTGTTTTGGGGAGCTGTCAAGTAAGATGGGCTCACTGTGAATGTATATAGACATAGGTTTCAGCAAGTGCGTAAAGAAGGGACGCTATGCGAATTAGAAATAAAAAGTAAGATGTTGAGGGCTCTTTTTTCTGGAATAGTCAGTGTTCTTTGTGTACTTTACTAAGGGTTGGGAAAGACAAGATACAGGATAGTGAAAATGCCTTTTAATGGAACGTTACTTTCATTCCACCGTGTCATGGTAGTCGTGGCATGTTTTACCAAACCATCAGTTTTCCTATTGCCATGCCCATTTAATACAGTTTAATCAAGAACTGGACAGAGTAGCTCATACTAGTATGACTATTTTTATTCTGTAAATTATGTAAAGTCTTTGGTTTAATAATCATTGAGTACTTATTTGCCCTATTTTGTGGTAACATATTTTTAAGGAACTGCTATTCTTCAGAGTTAAGCGACACTCAATTTATTCAGGTTTCTCAAATACATAGTTAATGTTTATTTATTTTATTTCTAATTTTGGAAAGGTAACCACTCAATAAAATTTTGTATTACCTTGAGGCAAAATTATTTAATGTAATCATTCCCTGAGTAGGAAATACTATCCGGACAAAATACACTTCTATTAAATTATGGGTGGTGTAATCAAAGACATAAAATCATTCATTAATGCAAGGGCTACATCTTATCAAAATTTAAAAAATTCCCAAGCAAAAATTTCCATGAAGCATGTAAAGTATCTGAAATATACAAAGGCTATATTAGGAACAAAGCATGGACTTTATTCTCACTCACTAAAGAACTATCTAGATAATTTGTTCTTCATAAACCTTTTAAACACCAAGAAAAAACACTCATGACATTTTCTCTTCAAAGGAGTCTTAGGAAAGTAGGCTTTGAATCAATTTCTTTTTGAAAGTTGAGCTAAATAAATTCTATTCTAAACTTCAGCTGTGCTGTGGGTGAAAAGGAAAAGCTGTTATCTGAAATGAGGTCAAGTTCATAGCTGGCCCATAGGCAACTGTTCTCAAGTATTTGAGAATTTTATTCCTGCACCTGCAATATGATAGTGCCAGAACTGCTAACTCGCCTGCCCAGCTGTCCTGTCTATCAGATGCCTAGAGTCTGCTTGTTATTATAGCACATCTAAAAGGTAGCCCAAGACAACGAAGAGAAGGCATTACCTATTTGATCTTGACTCACACCATTGTTTGCCCACTAGTGCGATGTACTATATTTACATAGCTATGGTTCTGGATCATATAGTGAGGCATAACTTATGATCAAATGACGTGGTAATGCAATCCACATTAATCAGCACTTAGCAGTACTTAAGAAGGGTATATACCGTCTTTGACAATTTTCTGTGGTTTCTGATAAATAAATTTAGGAGACACTAAATAACTAAATCATCTTGTGAAAACCAAATATATTTCATTATTCAAATTATGATTAAATAATTATAGAAATATCAGAGTCCTGGCAGTATCTGAATATGTCTGCATCATGAACATTCATAAGGTCTACTTGTCCAGGATGAATGACCAGTGTATGTTAGTGACCCCTGCTGTCCTCAAATGGACATGATAGTCTATGAGAAAAAGTCTCCTTTGGGTACTTGTGATGAAAATTCATTAGTCAATCTGTCGCTGAATTACTCATTCACCCTCTAAGACTTACCACTTATCTAATTGTTTCTAAGCTGGCCTCTGTGCCTAGTCCTAGACCTTGAGGTTATTTAGATCTCAATGTACTTGAATTTTCTTTTGCATCTGACTTTATTGTCCTCTCCTTATCAAAACTGCCTTCTCTTGGTGTCAGAGACATAGCATCATCCTGGTTGATTTCCTACTTTATTGACTGCCCTATTCTTTATCCTTCACTACTTTTTCCCTCTTTCTCCAAGAAGTGGGGGAATGCAAGAAGGGAGTGTATTCTTCAAGATTCTGTAATATCCTTCTTCCTTCATTTTTACTACTTTCCTGATGATGTCTCTTATAAAATTGTTTAAAAAGTCCAAACCCTTCCATCATTCATGCCCATGTGTGTCAAATGGCAGTTTCTGCGTGTTGTTTTCTCCAGAAACTGCAAAGAACATTATTTTGACGTGTAATTACTCACACATCTGAATTTAGTTAAGTGGAGATTCTTCAGCATTATTTTTGTCTCTGTTTCTTTTCTCAGCCCTAATGACTCCAATATATGAGATGACGAAATTTAAAAAGTTTCATTTTCCTCTGACACACGTTCCAAAAAGTGTGTTTCCTGTGACCTAGGAAATGCCCTCTCTGTTTCTTCTGAGCTCAGCTTTCATGTTCATTTTGGCCACATTCTCTCCATGTCTATACTTCACTGAGCCACACTGCAGGGGTGGTGATCACAGGGGTTCAGAGAAGAGAAAGAGAAAAATGCTGTTGTTATAGGAGTGAAGTTAGTGGTATAAAGTGAGATTCTACAAATCTGCACCTTGTGATAGGAAAACTATTTCCTGTTTGTACACTGAATAAAAACATTTTTTCACTGTATATAATTATAGCTTTCAGAAAAAGAGGCTGTCCAGTTTGAACACTGCTTGATAACTTGTTTTGCACTGTACATAAATTTCTGAGCCCCTAAGGCTTCCCGTGCAGCATTTTTAAGCACATTCTCTTCATCCTAACTTAGAAGTGAAGGTTTTGCTGTTAGCCAGTTTATTACCTACATATTTAGGATGTATGGACGCAAAATAAGTTCACAATAACTGTGCATAGAATGAATAGCCAACAATAAATAAATCAATAATTATTCCCCTTCCTGGCTAATAGTAAATAAGCCCCAAATTTTGCTGATTTGACTTATTCATGGAACTGTATATGGACTTTGTACCCTCTGTTGAAATTAGTATAAGAAGAAAGAAATGTTTGGTTTGTTTTTTGCATTTGAGAGAAGTAAGAAACATAATACGAATGGAGCTTGTTAAATAGAAATTGCCAGAGCAGCAGTTAATGACCTACTTTGCCTCCCATGGAGTGTCACATCACTGTATTATTTTACTTTGAGTTTACTAAGAAAAGTCATGTAAATTGTTCAGAGTGGTAGAGTGAATGATTATTTAGTTGGTCTATGTTGAACAAAAGATTCCAAGAATAGTCTTTTGATAATTGCACGCACACATGCATGTACATGCACGCACACAGACACACAATACCTTCCCAAGATTTCTGCCAAAAATAGATGAACAAAGAGCTTTTGTATAAAGCATGGTGGATTTATTTATTTCCAAATCTGTCTCTTCAATGTCAACATGCTTCATCAATCCTGCTAATTCTTTTTCTCTAGAGAAGACCTGTCAATATACATCTTAATGAATTGATACCACGTCAATAATTAGGCTTCTGGGACTTCTTTCTTTATCTGAAAGAATATGAAGGTCTTTTGTAGCTGACTTGAACAGTCAGATTTCTCCCCATTCATCAACTATCTCACAAGACATTTATTTTTATTAAATTTCAGGTGATCAAATAAAATTTTAACTATACCCTGATTTATATAACTACTGAAATATTTAAGACTTTAATCTTATTTCAAGAAAGGCTTGATTTAAAATGGCCTTAGAGTGTTAGTTTAATTAATATTCATGAATGTGGAAAGTTTGGAAACAATATATTCCTTAAGGCAGTTCAGCACTAAAATCCCAAGTTGTTACTTGAGCAGGAGAAAACATATTCGAACAATCTTTTATTTACCGTTGAAGAACATCACGGTCTCCTGTCGGACTGTGGGCTGTCTTTCATACTCTGGACTGGGGACAATGATTCTCCCTCTCTTCCCCATACTCAATGTTTGGTGTTCTTCTAAGCAGTTGGAACTATCTTCTTTATACAAATATGTATCACATTGGAACTGATGGTGGCAATATTCCTTGGGAAATGATGCCAGCAGAGATTAACTTCTGAAGTCCATATAGTCAAGGTCAGGAATTATCTGTAATTCTTTGGAAAAAAAGAATAGAACCAGCATATTCATCATAAATGACAATAATTGACAACATTTCTGCCAATGTGTCAAAACATTCATAGATTGACTGGAATCATGGTTTAATGTTGTAGGCAAGCAGTGGTGCCAAGTTGCTTAATTCTCATTTATCTATCATTAAAACGCCACTGTGGAAATATGTGCTGTGTTACAGCCCATAATATTATGTTTAAAACTGACATTGATCTACCTATATTCTGTCAAAAAACTGCAGAGCATGAATAAAGAAAAAAATAAAAACTTGTAAATAAGCAACCACTTATTTACTTAAAGGGCACCATTTCTTTAAATAAATAAGAAGATATTTCTGGTTCCTAATATTCTGATTTGTTAAATTGTTAAGTACCTGAATCTTAGATTTTTCACTGTTTAAATATATTAACATGATGAAAAGATATCTCATTCTTTTTTCCCCAAGCATTCTAAGTTGACTTTGATGAAATTAGCAATTTTCAGTAAAAAGACTTTAGGAACCAATTACTTGGGTCTGTTTTCGTAGCATGTTGGTATTCAGAAAAGTAAAATTTGTTACACCTTTGTTTTAGAAATGACAGGCAGGTACTTGTTTCTCCAATGAGTTATTAATTGTAAAGCCCATAATAGCTATTAATTTAAAAGCACAAAACACTTAAGAAACAATTTAGGTAAAAAAAATATTTTTTTTTGCTGAGACAGAGTTTTGCTCTTGTTGCCCAGGTTGGAGTGCAATGGCAAAATGTAGGCTCACTGCAACCTCCGCCTCCCGTGTTCAAGCAATTCTCCTGCCTCAGCCTCCAGAGTAGCTGTGATTACAGGTGCCTGCCACCATGCCCGGCTAATTTTCTGTATTTTTAGTAGAGATGGGGTTTCATCATTTTGGCCAGGCTGGTCTTGAACTCCTGACCTCAGGTGATCTGCCCATCTCGGCTTCCCAAAGTGCTGTGATTACAGGTGTGAGCCACCACGCCTGGCCGATAAATAAAATAATTTAAAATTACATCTATAAAAACTAGAATTATGAATTTTTAAAGAGTTTTTTTTGGTTTCCTGAGACAAGGTGACTAGCAAAGCTGCTGACTTTGAGTAGAGCCCTTTGAGGCAGCAAGCCTTAGAGGCCACTGAAAAATCTGTGGCCCAGACACTGCCTTAAAAGCCTTTAGAGTATGCTAACCTGATAGAATTACAGGTGTCTGCAACCTCCACGGATGCTGGTTGGAGACTATAGTAACAAAAACTTGCCACTTGGGTGCACCAGCCTCTGAGTTTTGACAATACAGTTGCCTGAGGCAGCTACCAGATATATGTCTTTTAAATGGCAACTCCTTGCTTACTTGGGCACTGGTAGAGACTACCTCATGGCTGGAGCACTACATGTACTGCTCATTACGACCCCATCAATAAACTTGGATAGGCTCAACAGAGCTTAATTATTAAATTATTAATTATTAAATGGAAATTCAAGATGGGGCCTGACTGGGACCCCCAAGAGACCAGTAGATTTCATGAACGGACAGAGTTATAATTATTGATGACACAGAATGGTTCACTAATGGCTATACAAAACTAAAAGCAGACCTGGGCATTTGGACTGGTGCCACCATCTGACCAGTGAATGCCATCTTTTGAATGAGATCAAATACAGATGTTGTGTCCAATGAACCAAATTACATGCAACTACATGAGTCACACGGTGATGACCATGCATGACACCCCATCACCATATTTTACTACATTTTCAGAGACTTATGTAATGAGTCTCACTGGATCCAGATGAGCTGGTAACCATTGCACAGTGAACCTGCTTCACAGTTACAACTAAACCAAACTCAGATAATTAATAAAATATTAAATGACAGTCTTGAAACATACACACACACACACGTTTATGATGTGGTGACTGTGTCTCCAGAATCCTCCATTTTACTCATTACATTGTGTAGGAGCCATTTACTTTGATAACTGACCCAAATCCAGTTGCTGGGCTGGCACTGGTTCACCTAAGTCAATCAGCTAATAGACAACCTCATTGATTGGTTCATGAGATGGGCTTATCACCTATGTTGACCCAATCAGAATAAAGCCCAGGAACTTCATTCAATAGTGGTGGTGGTGGTGGGTGCTGCTTTCATCTTCTTTTTTAAAATGCACGTTGTAGATAAAAAATAAAACTGTCTCAAGCTCTTTGCTTTCTTAAGAGAAGCCAGCTTGAGTACAAAGCTGAAAAGCAGAAAATAGTAAAACATATAAAACTGCCAAGAAATGAATCTGGTGCCTGATCAAAGCATGCTTAGAGCTTACCCTGGCACTGGACTAAGTCTTCTTGATTACTAAAACCAGGCTCAGCTGAATTTTTTGCTACTGTAAGTATCTTAAATTATAAAATAAGTGAAAGTTCATCAAACATTCCCTGGCTTATCACATAAATCTGTAGGGATTACACAGCTGGGAGTTGTTTTCTTTTTACTGTTGGTTTTCATCCAAGTGTAGTCAATGTTAGACAGCCTTCCAGTAACATACAATGCTCCATTCTTAGAGTGCTTCATTTGAAGAATTATTTTTGATACAGCAGTAGCTTAATTTATGTAAATTAGTAAGAATTCGATATGAGCCATCCAATCAAGAAGAGTTCTGAAGAGACAAAACTTAAGACTCCAGAAGAAAAGTTATTTTACATAGGCATAGGTCAATACTAGTAATAAAAGCCACATATTACATGCCAAGGAATTTATATGTAATAGATTATGACTAATCTTTATATCAACCTGGTGAGGGCTGCCTTATTATCTTCATTTAATAGCTGAACAAATTGAGATTCAGGGTATTTTGATAATGGATCAGGTTCATCCAGCTAATAAGCAGAGTCTTACAAAGTCCAAATTCCTTTGAAAGGAAAAGCTATGCATTTAATCCACCTTAAGGCTTCTCTTTCACAAATTTACTTTCAGAAACGTTTACTTAGGGCCTGCTATTTTCAAAGAATGAGAGTTACACAAAAATATGAAATATATTTCCTGAGAGCCAGAGAACAATCTATCTCTAGAGAGAAAAAGGACTATATTAAAAAATGAAAATAAATACAAATAATTGAATTGAGGGCAACAAGTAAAGGATAAAAAATAGGAAAAAAAAAAAACCCTGATCACTAGTATAGAATGAATTCTAATTCTGAAATCATAAGTTTCAGAGACAGAGTTTTATTTGAGCTCAATCTGAAAGGAAGAGAAGATTTCTGTAGAGATGGAGGGATGAAGATGTCATTCTTGGCTGCGCAACCTTTGTGAGTCAATGCATGAAGGCAGTAAAACTTAGAGCAAATAGAGAGCAGACCCATGAAAGCCTGACCTGGTGATAAATATGTGGTGACAACAGAAACTAGAAAAAAGAAATGTAACAAGATTTTCTCAGTCCAGAGATTGCAAACTTAAGGTCCATGGCCTGTACTTAGTCTGTATGGTTGCTTAATGTAAGCCAAATAATGTTTTTAAAATATTTGAATGATTGCAATTTTGGTCTATGATCCTCAACGCTCTTTGTCTCTATCCCCGCCTCTCGTCTGACGCTAAGCTGCTTCACTCATCCACAGTGTACCTTGACTGGGACCACACAGGCACCTTACAACTTTACATCCATAGTGAAGACTCTGAAAATGCTTCCGTAAAATGGATATGGAGGATATGGACTTGACATGATCTCAACTGCTTTTACACAGATAACTCAAGCAGCAGTGTAGAGATAGGTAGAGATACTAAAAAATTGTCATGAAGGAGGCTAGTTAGGAGGCCAGTATAATAATTTATTTAAAAAATATAGGAAAACTATGATCTAGTGACATCAGGAATGAAAAGGACTGATTTGAGAAATATGCAGAGTAGACTGAATGGACTTTCTAACTATTAATATATTAAGGAAACAAACAAAATAAATGGCCCCCATTGAGGGGACACCTAAAAGGAAAATGGGATTCACAAATACAACCACGAAAAACAATTTTTGATTTATGAGTGAGGATATCTCTGGTGGGTAGCATGGATTCTATCAATGGCCATTGATTTTGGAAAACAAACTGAATGTTTTAATAAATATAATGGGGTGCTTAGTGAAAACTGGGACTTAAAATGGGCATTTGGAAAGAAATGAGCACTTTCTGCCCCTTGGAGTCAGGCTTATAGACATAAAATATATAGCTATATGTAAATACATAAAAGAAAGCTATATATTTTACATTTAGGGCAAACCACTCTTAGCATTATGTAATGTATTTAATGTGACCATGTAAGACAAAAATGTCACTATTTGGTGGAAGTCTTCATTCAAGATTTGAGCCAGATATAATGCAAATGTAGTTACTTCAGATTAAACTATGGTGCCTTTACCTGTGTGAATATGAATTTGTTGTTTCCTTAGCAGAATTATGCACCATAAGCGTAGAAAACCCCTTTCCCTCTTCCACATATGGATTTAGACCATTTTTAACTTGAAAATTATGTTTTCCTCTTTATATATGTGGCTGTGAATGCTCATCTAAGCATTTGGTCACAGGAGATTAAGAGTGGAAACCATATAGTAATAGAGATTTTGTGCAAGCTACAGAATCTTTTCATCTCTTGCCAACATAAAGAATGGGAAACAACTGTCCTGAGCTTGGAACAGCACTGCTTGGACTTGATTGTTGCTGTGGGACACCGGGTGTTGAGACTTAATAATCCATACTTTTGGAAACATATGGTCAACTAATCTGATTACCTTTATCCCATGGACCATGAGACTTCAATGCTTTTGATGTGAGTGGGTAGCATTTTCCTTGAAGATAAGGAATGTTTCCACTGTAAAATCCAGGAAAAAGGTCGATTGAGTAATAGAAAATAAAGTAACTTTTAGACCACGTGAGGAAAAATACTTCTTTTCTTTCTGTGCCTTTGGGCAAATTGTGCCTGAGATGAACAGCATAGGCATATTTTGAGTAATTCTGAGAGTGGAAGTATGATTTTACTAGATTTGGTATTAAAATAAAAACTAATGCTTTCAGATACATATTCACCCAATTTTTCTATGGCACGTGGCCTGCATGTGCCATTCCCTGCTGAGGAAATGGAGGACTGCAGTTCTGCTCCCAGCAATTTTTCTCCCTGGGAATGACTCAAAATGTAAATGAGAACTCTCACTTGCCTGGGCTAAGCTCTAGCTTTCTATATTAGCTGGAGCCATCAGATGATCTTTCAGAAATTTAAATGTTGGAACAAAAAGCGACCATAACTAGGAGCTGTTAGAATAGAGTCACATCCCTTGAAATACAGATAAAAGGCACCTGAATGGTGACTTTAGAGAGCCCAGAGGCTAATTTTCCTTCTTCTTTGTCATAAAACTCTTTCTTACTTCTGGAAATTTCATTGATATCTTTTTCATCAATCTGTTTGAATTTACAAGGAACATAGCTGATTACCATAACTTTCAACCCAATTAACTTTATCATAGTATGTAGTGTAGTGTTTAATCTGATGGAAGGATTTAGTTGCATATTTTGTTTGCTAAGCAAATTCTACACGGTGTATGTGGGATTTGGGGAACTACACCCATTTTTAACTATTTACTTTTAGCATCTTTTTTTTTTTCTTTTTTTCTTTTTTAAGACAGAGTCTCGCTCTGTCTCCCAGGCTGGAGTGCAGTGGCACAATCTTGGTTCACTGCAACCTCTGCATCCTGGGTTCAAGCAATTCTCTTGCCTCAGCTTCCCAAGTAGCTGGGATTACAGGCACCCACCATCATGTCAGGCTAATTTTTGTATTTTTACTAGAGACGGGGTTTTGCCATGTTGGCTAGGCTCGTCTCATACTCCCGACCTCAGGTGGTCCGTCCACCTCGGCCTCCCAAAGAGCTGGGATTCCAGGCATGAGCCACCACGCCTGGCCTAGTATCCCTTTTTTAAAGCACTAACCATCTCATCTGTTTTCTAGATCACTTCCTGATTCATGAAACATTTCCATTCATCTAATATCCAAAAATATTTACTAATAATTGACCTCATACTGTCTCAGGCTGGACTGGGTTAAGCTTTAATAATCAACAACCTGAAAATCTGAATTACTTTTTAAAACAAAAACTGATGTGTCACTCACACTACATTTTTTTTTCAGGGGTTAGCTATTGTTCTTACGTTTCCTTAATCTAGATTATAGACTAACAGAGCTTCCTCTATGTGAAATGTTGTCAATCATTCTGGAAAAGGAGAAAATAGAGCAAAGTGAAGAAGTATTGACATATAACTTCTGTCCTGAAGTTGTGTATCACTTTTGCCTACATTTCTTTGACCAAAGTAGAGGGCTATGACCTAACACAAAAGAGCACTGAACACTGCCGAAGAGTCCCTCAGTCTATCTCATTTATTGTATGCCAGATACTGTAGTAGGCATTTATTTTCTATAAATTTCTTTATCTAATGTGTATTTAACTTCTTTTTATGACTGGGGAGTCTGAGACTTAGAGAAGTCAAGTGCTTTTCCATAATCCAAAGAGCTGGCATATGACAGAACTGAGGTTTGAGCAACATTCTGACTATACGCCTCACTTGATTTTTTCTTTCCTTCCTTCCCCAATTAATCACAAAGTATTTCTTCTGTACTACGGTGTAGCTTATGATTTCATCCACTTCTCAATTTCCGTTGTAATGAAAATAGCCTTGGAAACTCATGTATTCTTTTTAACCTAGATTATTTCAGTGCCCCACCCACAATGGTTTAATTGCCTCTCAACTTTCTTCCCTACAGTTACCCCTATTCAGAAAGAAAGAAAAAAAAAAATCCAAAACACAAGTCTGCAAATGGAACCTTTTTTCTTAGAAATGTTCAATGACTTCTCACTACCTTGTCACAGGTTTTGAAAGGTTTGGTGACTAAATAAAAAGTAGTTGATAAAGATCCTTCAAGACTTTGTTTATATCTTCCCAAGCAAATCATATACATATGCAACTGCTTAAGAAGCATTTTCAATCAAGAATAAAGAGATAACAAGTAAACCAATAAAGTAAAAAATGAAATATTTAAAATCTAACAATACACATAAAACAATTTGCTAAGAGTTATTCAAACAGCTTATTTTTGGGTCAAGATCATGAGAGGTTGTACCTGTACATATTTTTATGGGTTCTGTTAGTGAAGACAAAGAGGGAATATTATTCAGTTATTATTACATATTACCATAACAGTAGAAGTACTGGAAGTTGAGATTTTGAGAAATGAGGGAATCAGGTGAACAGATGCAATTGAAAGGAAATATAAGTTATGAGAAATAATGTTTTAGAAATGAATTCTCCCAGCTTACATTGAATTTTAGAAACCATAATTTGCCGGTACTCTAATGTCACTTACTAATCTGTAATTAAATGAGAGCTGAAAAATGTATGTTCCCTTCAATATATTAATTTTGCCATGTGACATAAATAATGTGAATTTGTATTATAATACATTTGTATCATTTTAAAAGTTCTTCAACTCAGTGTACATTAGACAAACCATTAGAAGAATACAAATCCACCTTCTTACCACAATACGCTTACTCTTTCATACACGAACAGAAACCTCACACATTAGGGGGCTTTGTGTGTGATTTTTGGATTACCTAGGGTTGTTTGCTTTAGAAAATAGGCTTTGAATTCAACCAAAATGTATCATAGACTAAAAACTGTGTGCCAAAGTCTAAGTTAAAATGAAGACCTGATCCTACAGTTATACATTTACTATGCTTAATCGCAAATCTATTGACCTCTCCTCAACTTTAAACCATTTTGGCCTGATTCACAATTTAGCTATTCTTCTCACCTTCTCACTGTTGTAGGAGCAACTGAATAGAAGCTGTCAGTTTGATCAATGAGTATATGCAGGAAGAGCCCATTTGAAGATATATCTTGATTTTTGCAGTAACTGGAATATTGAGATACACACAAAAGCATTGAGGTTGGCATAATCAGGTAATAGACACATTTATTAATTCATTATTTTATTTATAGTTTAATAAAAAATTAGTAAATGGTTGCTATATGCTTAAGGATCTGTGCATGAGGCAGTAGGAAACAGAACAAACAATAAATATATAAGTAAATATGAGTTCTACAGAGAAGAATAAAACGTAATAAGACATAATAGGGAGTACTGGTGATTGTTATTTCTAATTTGTATTAAACAGAATTAGAAAAGGCCTTGCTGACTAGGTGACATCTAAGCAATGTGCAGAAAGACCTGAGGAAGAGCAGCATGTGGCTCTACAGGAAATGGATAGTGGAGGTAGAGGAAGCATCAAGCCTAATTGCATGAAACACATGTATTCAAATTGTTTAAGGAAGAAAAGGAGGCCAGTGTGGCAGAGTTGAGAGTCCAAAAGGGAGAATGGTAGAAAATTAGGTCAGATAATTGAGGGTGAGGTAGATCATGTAAGGCCTTGGAGACTTTTGTTTCAGACTGTTTAACTCTGTATCAAAGTAGATTTCTTCTCTGCCTAACAACAGAGGCTACATTCCTCAGTTTTCGATCCCATCAGACATGGCCATGTGACTGAGTTAAAACCAATAAAATGTGATATAAAATGACCCACTTCATGTCCAACCTTAGCCTGTAAAAATCTCCCAGGTTTGATCATCGTGCTTTTTCCCCAATTTACTGATTTGAGATGGATTATTGTAATGACCCTGAGAGTCATACGTTCAAGAAGGTGGAGCCATCAGATTAAGTCTGTGGCCTTCCATTATCACAAGAAAGAGAGCTAGCTTCTCATCATGAACATATAGTTTAGTATTTATGAGAATGAAAATAAACATCCATCACATTTGAGCAATCACAGGCACTATAGATCAGGCAATATGAGGATGGAGAGTTGATTGCTAGATGAGATTTATATTGACAATAGTTTCAGTGGAATAGTGAGCATAAAAATCTTACATTCAATTATAGGTATATTCAAGAGAAAACTAGGGGAGAAAAATTGGAGATGTGAGCATATAAAAGTCATTCAAAAAGTTTTTTTGTGAATGGGAGTAAATAAATGTGGTGATAGCTTGAGGGGCTGTAGGATCAAGGGAAATGTTTTTTACTGAGGAAGTGTTGGAGTATTTTGAGAAGAATTATGCATAAGAGGGGAAAATGATTGTTTAGAATAGAAAAGCAGTTGCTGAGATATTTGAGCTTGCAAGAGATTGCATGACCGAATGCAGGAATTACTGGTTTTAAGTGGAAATATGGAGAGTTTATTTATTTTATCAGAAGGGAAAGCAAAACTAATTGGTATTTGTATAGGCAAATAAGAAGATGTGATGGAAACTTTTGGAAGCACTTGTTTTGTAGCTTTTAGAAAAGAGATCAATAGCTGAGACTGAGAAAGTGGAGAGGAATTGGAGGCTTGATGAGAAATGAGAAGATATAATAGTTATCTAAATTATGGAAGACAAAATGTATTTGAGAAATGTATAGAAACATTATTATGGTTTCACTTCTGATTGATACTTATCATTGTGTGGTGGAACCAGTAAGGTTACATGGTTTTCTTCAGTCATTACTTGCCCAGTTGTAGGCAGACAGCTGAATTTAAACAAAATAATTATTTTGCTAGATGAGTACCATAAAATGAGTAAAAGGAAAGATAGTTAAGGCTACATGAAAAGATTGATAATGATAGCACATGTAATTTAATCCCATCAAGAAGGAACTTGTGAAAGAACAATGTACTTTCAATTAAAGTGGAAAAAAAATGTTGGAATTATGGTATGGCACAAGAAAGAGATTCATGGAACTACAGTAGGTATTGGTTAGAGAGTATGAAATTTGAAAATAAGATTAAGGTGTGTATATGGCAATTGACAATGACAAAGTCTAAAGTGTATGTATAAGATTAGCTGAAGTAGGAGGAGGGAAACGATAATAAAGAAAGGAGAGTATGGATTATTAAAATATATCATCTATATATATATATGAAATTATGAATAATTATGGCAAAGAGATAGAATTGGAGAGAGAGAATTAGTGAGGCTTCAAGGAATGAGAAATAACCAAAAGAATCACCTGATGACTGCAACAAGGATAGGCTGTAGTCACTTTAAAGTTGTAAGGTTTTTTTTAAGAGAGAAGGAAGCAACTGAAAGTAGGACAATACTCCCACTACACGCCTAATGAAGAGGGTGTATTAAAAACTAATGGTCATCTCTTGAGAGTGATTTCAGAGGAAACACCGTCATTTGATGAGAATCAGGTTTATGCTAGAGATGAAATTGGAGGAAAGAATGTTCAATGAAAAGTTTATGAATAAAGGGATTTTTCTCTTGATGGACCTTGACTTCTAGGATGGAAGGGAAGAAGGTTTGGAGGTAAGGATTTAGTGGAGGAAAGGTTCAGCATAAGTAAAAAGTAAGCAAGGAATGATTTGGGGAAGAGTATAGTTAGTGCAGGGTAACCTGTGCATCTTGGATTCCTGGATATAAACCTTGAAGTGCCCTTGCCAGCAGACACCTATATTTTAATCTCTCTGTTTAGACTGCCTTGCAGAGATACCATGCTGAATTAACTTTTAGTGCAACTCTTAATACAAATTTTGAATAGCCTCAAATAGTCAACTCAAAATTGGATATTTATGGCAAATGAAAAATTAAATATCCTGATATTACCATAAACAATTTTGTTTAAGGTGATAATAATACTCTAAGTAACAGATGACTTATAATAGTTAAGCTTGCTTTGAGCAAAACCATTAAGGAAAATATTATGCCATGTGGTCTATAGGATTAAAAATAGAGCTAATTAAGAGACTGAATGTTAATCTTAATTCTTTTGATAGGTGATCAAGAGTTAGGATAGGAGGTCCATACAGTTAAAGTTTTCTTTGGAGGCTTCAAAAGAGACATAACATTATCTTTAGACATGTTATTATTTAAAAAACAGGGTTATCTACTTTCATATACTTTGCAATACTTGGTTTTACTATTCAGTAATGATCTAACCAATTTCTTTATCTTCCTTGTTATATTACAATGAAACTGTATGTTGGTGTTCTTACTCTGTTATTTGGTATATATTCAGTTAGTTTGGTGCTTGATAAATGTAAGCATTTCAATGGTTTTAATCTTGGCTGCATGGTAGAATCACTTGGAAAGTTTTTAAAAATACGTATGCTGATTCATTACAACTGACTTATAATTCTCATTGGGGGCATATACCTTTTTAAAAAAAATTGTCCACAAGTGATTGTACTATGCAGTCAGCATTGAGAAGTACTGATTCAGACAATGTAGTCACAAACCAAGCAAAGGTAAGCATGAATAAACCAGAAAAAAAATAATCCCTTTCTCTCAGTTGATGGCATTTTTACAGCTTTAACACATCACTTATCCTTTTGTACAGGGTGAATTTTGCAGGTCATTGTGTCTCCGACTAGACTATGAGATCCTTAAATTGAGAGTCACATCTGATTTGCGTTTATATTATGCTATGCTTGAGCTTAACACAACAACTTTCACAGATGTGTTTATTTTATTTTTATGACAGCTATTCTATCATTGAGAACATAGAGAATTGGTTTTATTTAATAAAGACAAAATCCAAATAGGTATTGTACATCTGACACTTCTTTTTCATCGTTATTTACAGTGGCATTATCTTCTAAATTATTTTACATTATTGTTTTCTTTAAATAATCTATCATAATTACAATAATTAAATCTTACAGTATGGTATTTATGTTTCATATGTAGAAGACAAATTTTAAAAAAAAAATTTATTTTACTTTAAGTTCCAGGACACATATGCAAAATATGCAGGTTTGTTACATAGGTATATGTGTGCCATGGTGGTTTGCTGCACCTATTGACTGGTCCTCTACGTTCCTTCCCCTCACCCTTCACCCCTAAACAGTCCCTGGTGTGTGTTGTTCCCTTCCCTGTGTCCATGTGTTGTCACTGTTCAACTCCCACTTATGAGTGCAAACATGTGGCATTTGTTTTCATGTTCCTGTGTTAGTTTGCTGAGGATGCTGACTTCCAGCTTCATCCATGTCCCCGCAAACGACATGAATTTTTTATGGCTGCATAGTATTCCATGGTGTATATGTACCACATTTTCTTTACCTAGTCTATCATTAATGGGCATTTGGGTTGGTTCCATGACTTTGCTATTGTAAATAGTGCTCCAATAAACATATATGTACATGTGTCTTTATTGTAGAATGATTTGTATTCCTTTGGGTATACAACCAGTAATAGGATTGCTGGGTCAAATGGTATTTCTGGTTCTAGGTCCTTGAGGAATCACCACACTGTCTACCACACTGGTGGAAATAATTTGCACTCCCACCAACAGTGTAAAAGCATTCCTATTTCTCCATAGCCTCACCAGCATCTATTATTTCTTGACTTTTTAATAATCACCATTCTGACTGGTGTGAGATGATATCTTATTGTGGTTCGGATTTTCATTTCTCTAACGATCAGTGATGTTGAGTGTTTTTTCATATGTTTATTGGCTGCATGAATGTCTTCTTTTGAGAAGTGTCTGTTCATATACTTTGCTTACTTTTTGATGGTCTTGCTTTTTTCTTGTAAGTTTGTTTAAGTTCCTTGTAGATAGACCTTTGTCAGATGGATAGATTGCAAAAATTTTCTCCCATTCTGTAGGTTTCCTTTTCATTGGATGCTAGTTTCTTTTGCTGTGCAGGAGCTCCTTAGTTTAATTAGATAGCATTTGTCAATTTTGACTTTTGTTGCAATTGCTTTTTGCGTTTTTGTCATGAAGTCTTTGCCCATGCTTCAGTCCGATGGTATTGCCTAGGTTTTCTTCTAGGGTTTTAATGGTTTTGGGTTTTACATATAAGCCTTTAATCCATCTTGAGTTAATTCTTGTATAAAGTATAAGGAATGAGTCCAGTTTCTGTTTTCTGCCTATGGCTGGC